GTGTCGTCTATTTCCGCTGTAGCAAACGTAGTACATAGGGCGACATCTAGATATCATCTACCTCACCCTATTCACTACAGATGTCGCCCTATGCACTATGCTTTTTTATGGGAACTTTTCAAAGCAAAGCTTTATGGTGTCGGACACACAACATTGAAAGTTTCTGGACACACAACATTGCAAGTTGATAAAAGCGTTGTAATAATAAAATTAAACCAGGTCAACGCTTGCATAACGATGGGAGTTGGCGATCTTTTCGCTATGTGGCATGCTTAGTGCAGTTTCATACATTTAATCTTATTTGTCAAAACGAAGCAAGCGCTTTATCTGGCATAGCCTTAAGGTGAAGAAATACGCGTCAACATACATAGTAGGCGCGGCCGAAGCGTAGGGCGCGAATATTCAAATAAATTTTCATGACGTGTCATTCTTTACCGTTCAAATTCGCTTCCTAATCATAAGAAAATGCGTTCTTGGGAGCGAATTCGTATTCAAAATCGCCAGATATTTAATTTAATTTCGAGTTTTTTAATTGGATTTCTTGGAAAGGTTTTGAGTATGCAGTTTTATAGCCAACTCAATTTTAGTGTCCAAAGTGCAAGATTGAAGTAGCTAGGACTTACCGTTGATTTTTGACAATTTTTTTTTGTTGGTGGCGCCAGTCATTTTCTTCCATACGAAGTATGTTCGATGATATGAAGAAAGTGAAGAAAGCGAAATCTAATTACAAACAGTTGAAGTTAATATGGATAAGCGTCTGTTTGAGTAGCTGAATTTTATTTCATTCATTAGCTAATACTTTTTATATTATATTTCTTTTACAGTGTTGATATTCACATACGTATTTTACTAGCCTTCAGACGTAGATTCCATTTTATTTTGTCCAATTTGCTTGACTCAAAGTACTACTTTTACATGGTTATAACTATTCCCTTTAAATGTACCATAATATTGTGCTACAGGCCGTTACTGTGAACGGTTTTCGCTTCTTAGAGAATCGCTTTAGCCAAGTTGATGATGAAAAAGCCCTATCTAGAAACTTTTTTTCAATTTTGGCCGCACTTTTGGATTTCGGCCGCACTGTGCGTCGTCCCTCTTTTTAATTTTGTCCCCAGTGGTACAGGCACGTTTAAAATTTTTCTGGGTTAATTGCTCCAAATTGCAGATGCATATGTCTGTATGTCTATCCATCCATTCACAGTAAATTGTGCTTGTATGTGAGCAGCACAAGAGCAACAGCACAGCAAACCACAGGAAATTCAGATTTTGTGTGCTGTTGCTTCCGGTCTTACAGCTTTTATTTGAACGTCTCTTGCCAATATTTATGTATGTATATATGTACATACATACGAGTATTTTGCATGTTTTCACCATTCGTCTGTTTCTTTTGCAACCACTACCGCTTTTTTTCACACGTTTTATATTAGTGTGAACGTCATAATGTACCGCAAAGTGAGCTGATTACGTTTTATTATTGTGTGTGTTTGTGAAACAAAAAACCCAGGGTGAAAAGGTAATGTTTGGGAATGCAAAAAGTAATGGATAGCCCCTATAACCTACGCACGAAAAGATACAATAATTTCTCTACAGGTTTGTCATACGAAAATAATGTGTCGCATGTCGTTTAACTAAACTATAAATACATACATACAATTTTTAAATGAAAATAAAAACCAGTCCGTGCCACAGGTTTTCAACCCGTGGCCAACAACACGGCAGTCGAACACGCATCGGCTACAGCTGGTGAGATAACGTAAAGAAACGTACTTGAGTTACCGCCCTATTCCCACAACACTGACAAAATTCATCATATGACTATTGTCACAATTACTGCGCCTACAACACAATATAAACATTGTTTCGCCGTTGTCACCTACTCAGTAGGTCATAACAATAAAACTGACAATTGTCATACGACAGCTTAAAATAAATTTGCGGCATAGTATTAGGCGCAGTAGTAAAGGCAATAGTCAGCCGCTAAGTTTTATCAGTGGTGTGGAAATAGGGCGGTTAGTTTTCAAATAATTTGTTTTGTTTGCAGCTTCAAAACTACTTCCATTCGCTTACATTGCTATGCATCTTTTCATTCTTTTTTTAAAGGTAATGGATTCCCATGTTTACATTGGGAACAGACAATTTAAAATTTGCTTGAACAAATTTATATAAGATAGCCGAATGTCGAGAATATTAAGAAAATAAAGCGTGACAGCTCTTTTATTACTTCAGCTGTACCATGGTTGTCTACTATATATCGATGGGTGAGTAAAAGATCGACCTATCTCGGCAGCCAGTTCGAAAACGCCGAAGTAGGGTGTTCTTAAAATGTTTTCTGAGATAGGGCGTTTTCGAATAGGCGGACGAGATGGGTCGATCTTCCACTCAGCCGTCGATGTATGGAAATAAGAAACGCCAAACCAAAATTTTATTTCAAAGAATGTATTTTTGATATTTGTTTTCGTGATTTAAATTTTAAATATAAAAATTGTTGACTTAAGTGGCTTCTTGGCGTCATATAATTCATTTTATAGGGAAATTTCTGATGCATTGTTTTTAGTGTAGATATAAATTACCTTTACAAAAATATCAAACACATCCACAATGCAGACAACGAATTTTACAGTGCGGCCCGGCCCGTTGACCGGCACAAAAATTATTTTATGTATTTTTTCGAAATATGAAATTTTTTTTAGATTCGAATGTATACGGCGAACTTTTTTCTGGTACGGTCTAATATACATATTTACATATGTATTGTAGCAGTTAGTCTTGTGCAGCCATGCACTTACGAGTTTTTAGTTGCTACATTTCCCATTACAAGCAACACTCATTTTCATTAAATTTTACTCAAAAAAGTTTTTAAGAAATACATATGAATGTATGTACATATGTATGGAAATTTCTTGTACACTTCAAGATCTTGCTGCTTGTTGTACGTTGCCACTAGCACATTTACTCGCAATTATTTGTTATTTGCTCAATTATGTGGAGAAAAGCGCTCAAACGGTTAACAAATTTTTTTTGCAGACAGACTCTGTTTCATACATACATACATACGTACATACATATATGCAATTTATTGACTGTGTCGGATTTTCACTTTTCCAACTGACAAGCCCAATTAATCGCGATTTAATACATATTAACCATTAAAATGGCTAATAAAATGTGAAATAATGAGAAATACCTGCTAAGCAATGTAACGCAACAAGTTTATAAATTAAGATACATAATAGAGATACTATAAAAATATAAATACATTAGGGTGCATCACTATCCATAAAAAAAAAAATCGGTATTGTATTTACATTGGAATTTGAAAAATTATTATATTTTGAGACTTTCGCCGAAATGTTTCGGTTTACGGGACAAGAATATCGATAAATAATACTTTATGATCCGACTGTAGATGCCGTTTTCAAAGTTGCCTTGCAAAAATACTTCAGTCTCTGGGATATACGGCGATCCTTTATTCTGGTTTGGTCTAGTGCAGGGATGGGCAGACTTTTGGCTCTTAAAGTACTCAAAGAGCTAGCAAGTGCTACGCAAGATGTAAATCAGTACTCAGAGTAAAGGGTATCTGACATCGGTATCTGAGAGAAAGCGTTCATGTTCAATCCATGTTATGTTCTTCCCCATTATCTTCTCACATCTGTAGCTTAGGGCCATTCGCTCTGGCATCGCATGGTTTGAAAGAGCCGCAAGAGCTCGTTCTTGAAGTGAATGACCCTTTTGGTATTGGGGTGAGGACTGAAGGAAGTCAGACATGTGTCGGTTGGCGAAAGGGTAGATCGTTCTTCTCCACGGTCTCGTGCCTGGCTCCCTTCCAAGCTTCTCATACCAGGGCTACTGCCGGATTGTACAACCTCGCCGACCATTCGTCAGCACATACAAATCGTTTGTAGAGTCTATGGTGCCATCCGACAATCTCACAACTTTGGGGTGGGCTACAACGGTCCGTGATCGCCTTTTTAGGAAACCCAAGGAGAGGGCCGACGTCACGTATTTCAACTCCACCCCACGACACCCAAAACAATTAAGCCGATTTGTCTTTCCGCTTGCAGCTCCCGTCCTTTACATTTTCCAGAGCGAAGCTCTCACTCTAAGCGACCTTTGCCTCTTATGAGCTGACTGCGTCACGCTGGCACCACTTTCGATGCCTTCACATCCACGATCGCCTCAGGCACTTAATCCGCGTAGGTCAGAATGGGCCTTTTACGCAGGAGTGCCTCGTCTTCTAGAAGAATGTTACTGATCAGGTTCTCTCAAAGCATGGTGCTGACAATTTCCCGTGGACTCGTGCCTAGCGGGAGTCCTCTCAACGGCACCATTACCTCCAAATTAACTGTGATGAAGGTCGGAACGTACTTTGCGGCCTGCCATGGTGTTAACGGGACAGGGACAGTTGGAGCATTACCCTACTAGCCATTTCTGCTTACCTAAGCGTACTCAGGTAGTAGAATACTATCTGAAGAATCGATGAACCCAATACGTTTCATATAATCATAGTCAAACGCATAGCCAACGTCGTTACCGATCGGGTGATAGAAGCCCGTAGGTCCTGCTCTAAATACGATCCACAGTATGATTAACTAAATACTTTGTTGAGGGTTTAATAAGTCGGTACAATCGTTTAAAAGCGCGAAAAAAATAAAAACAAAAATGAACTTAATTACAAAAATTACTTTCAGCAAAAGATAACTAAATTGTAGTCAATCATGAAATCGCCATTCACTCTGCTCGTTGCTGTATTACCAGCCGAGAGGAAAGTTGTAATTAGTTGACGCCGGCAGGCAATTTTCGCTACACATAATTACTTATGCAGTTAATTAATCATGACTTTGCGCCAGTTACAACAGCTTGACTTTCCTAGCTTTCCATTGGAAGTGGCTTTAAATGCAGCATTAAAACGTGTTTTTCGATATATTCACACACATGCAAATGTACATAAATAGGTATATATGAACGTATTTCCTCTCAAACGCTTTCTTCTCTCGTTTACTTGCAGTGACGTGACCAATCAATGACATCATTGACAATAGCAGCGCCATCGAGTGTCGAAACGTCATTAGTGACAACAACGACGGACGCTGGAGGGGGACAATTGGACGAGATGGCAGAGCGGCATGCCGTCGAGGAGATGGAGGCCAAACAAGAGCCAGCAGCTGGTACAAAAGTGATAAACAACAATAACCCAATAACCGATATTGTAAAAGAAACTAATGCAATGACGGCTGCAACAGCAACAGCAACAGCAACAACAAAAATAGTGACAATGACAACAACACCACTCACTAGTGCAAGTAAAATACCACACTTGCAACAACAGTCGTCGCCGCAGCAATCGCCACAGTACACACACGGCCGCCAGTTGAAACAGTTAATGCACTCACCCGATTTATTGCGACGTTCCGCGTCAATGCGCATGCGCGGTTCCAAATCAAATCTCTTCAACGATTATCGTGGCAACTATATGGAAATGGAACGCAGCACGCGCCACTTGAGCAACGCCACGCCGCATACGGCCAACACCCGCTACAACCACCCGCTGTTGGGAGCGCTTGAACAACAGCAACAACAACAACAACCACAGCCAACAATGCAACGTGACATACACGAACGGCACAACGCTGCCAACACCGCCACAGCCGGTTCGTTTGGGGGTGTTGTTGCTGCTGCAACGCGTCGCAAGGCCGCCGCCGCCGTAGTATTACTGCCTGGTTCAACATTGTCTACGCAAACACCCGCTGTCACAGTTGGCAATCTGACGCGTTCGCAATCGTTGCGTCGTAGTTATCTAAATCATCAAAACAACTATTACGCGCAGCAGAAAACTTTCAAAACGGATGCACTAAAGGATAAAAGTGCCGGAGGCGTCACAGCAATTGGCTCTGGAGCAGAAACAACTGGAGCTGATGTGGCAATTACAGGAACTGTAGGTGCTGATAATGTGGCGCCTCTAAAAACAAGTACACAGCGTGAACAGCAGCAGCCTGCTGTTGATGAAAATTATGCCGTCCCAAATGGTAGCGTGCAAAGCAATGACATAACGCACAAAATGGACGGTGTTGGTGTTGGTGGTGGAGTTGGAGTCGGCGAGCTGCGGCGGATTGACAGGGATATGCAGAAAATGGTAAGTGAATGAAACTTTCAGTTCATTAAACTTTTTTTTTTTTTTGTTTTCTAAATGTATTTTTGTTTGTGCCATTGCGTGTACTATTTAAATTTTGCATCAGTTTGGAAACGCATATCTCTTGAGGCTGGGAGTTACGAGTTCTATTGATTTTCTGACGCCTGTATCGCAAAATTTCGTAAGCGAAAAATATATACTAAACTACCCTGCATTTTCCATATGGACATATGTAATAAAATTTTGCAACCAGTTTTACACACTTGCATATATGTATGTATGTATGTAGCTAGGAAATGTAAAATTGTAGTGTAAATAGTTTGGCTAGAAGAAGCATTGCGCGTAAAAGCCCCTCGAGATTCGTTTAGTTTTTAGGTCAAAGGAGAATGTGTCGACGAAGCTAATCGGTCGTTTGCTCCTACAGTAGCTACATAAATACATGTATATGTATGTACATACCCTGTGCGAAAACGCACTAGTGCCGAACTGGTTCGGTACTATATAATTTACAGCCATGACTACTACTTCTAGTTCGCTCTGCATCCCTTTTTACATAGTTCCGAACCAGTTCGAAAATCATCAGACGAAAAAAGTAACATGATTTTTTCAACCAGAGTCTGTATGGTTTTTCCATGGCACCATAGGTAATTTGATGAGTTTGTGTGGCCAAATTTCGTTTTTCGTACTTACAAAAGTAAATTTTCGGCCTTAGTATTTGATAAACAAAACTTCAAACCTGTTTTTCTTCGAACGAACAACAACTGCTTAGCAGATAGTCAAAGTCGTTGTTTGTGAGCGAAATTTTGAAATCGATTTTGTGTTCGGTTTTTTAGCTATTTTCGAACGACCATATTTAAGTTAATAATTATCTAAAAAATATAGAAAATAAAAAAGTAAGTACTTTAAAGATCTACAACTGTTTTATTTTATATATATTTTGTTTTTTAGTGAAAAATACATAATTCCGATATACCCTTTAATATATTTTTTTTTTGTTTCTTAAGATGATATTTTAATATGCTTTTGAAATGTTGGCCATATTTGGCCGTGTGAAGACTATCAAAAATGTCTAAAATGAAGAGTTTTGAGTTTAATCTGTCAATTTCATGTTGCGATTTTTTGCGTTAATTCTGAGAAATGGCTTTCTTTGTAGGTATTTTTTATACTGTCAGTAGTGAACTATTTATTCACTCTATAAGTTGCATTTGTAACTAGATAGATTTTTTCTTCAATCTAAATATTAAAGAAAAATATATTCAATATTTTTTCAGTATAACCATAAATTAAAAAGTGACCCATCGGTCGTCAAGGGTTAAGGTTTTTTTGACAAAAACGTGGGAAATCAAATTCCAATCAACTAAAAAAAAAATACCGTTTGTCAAATAAGCTACTTGTTTGGCCATAATAAATTTTGGCCACGAAAACGGGCAAAATTACGCATACTGCATGGCAGAAATTTTAAATTATTTTCACGGGAATGTGTTTTCAATTTGAACTCAAATTTGTTTAAAAGAATGTAATTCAATCTCAGCATATGAGTACACGTTTACCAATCGACGGCTGAGTGGACGATCGACCTATTTTGGCAGCCGATTCGAAAACGTCTTATGCCAGAAATTGGCCCAAGAACGCTCTACTTCAGCATTTGTTTGATAAACGCCCTATCTTTAGCCAAATGCTGAGCTAGGGCGTTTTTTAGGCAAATTCTGAAGTCGGGGTTTCTTGAAAAATTTTCTGAGATAGAGCGTTTTCGAACCGGCTGCCGAGATATGTCGATTTTCCACTCAGCCGTCGATATGTAACTACTCAGTAGGGCGATTGACTCGGTTTTTCCAAACAGGTTTCCACCGTTTTTTTGGAAATCTATAGGCGATTTTTTAGAAATCTTGATTTTTCGAATATTGAATAAACCGGATTTTTCGATCGAACAAACCGGATTTTTTCATTGCATCCAAATCTTGACCTCCGAATAAAAACTTTAGGTTTTTCGAAATTTTCAGTTCAAGGGAAGCCCTAGGAATACCCTAGTAACCACCTTTGGCTGCAGCTGAGTGCGCTGCTTGCTGTTATTGGTTAGATTCCAAAAGGTCCCAAAATGTTAAAATGTTATTAAAAAATTTGTGGGTTTGTATTAACAAACTATGAAAAAGCATCTGTGAAGTGGAGAATGAAAGCGTACTTGAAGGAAAAAAAACAAATATCTATTTAAAGTAAACAAACCCCTCACAACATCCCTTTCTCGATAGTTCCGAGCTAGTTCTAAATTCTACAGATGAGATATAGTACGTTCTGCATCCCTTTTTCTATAGTTTCGTCACCTTAGGCATAGATTTCTACCATTTTTTTTTTGTATACTTTGGAAATTATCACATTTTCTGTGACTCTTTGGACTAGCAAATTAACGTATCGCCAAAGAACGTAGATACTAATGTTTGGTTTTCACTATGTCATATTTGACGTCAAATGTTGTCAGTTGAATGAAAGCGGGTTGTCATATGGCATCAAATGCGTTCGTTGTCATATATGACCACGCACGGTCATATAAAATGACAGCCAAGTGAAAACGGCCTTTAAGAAGGGGAAACTTGCTATAATTGTAGTGAAAGTGACTAACAGGGGCGTGCCTTTTCTTTTCATCCAATCAAAAAACGTACTAGGGCAAAAGCGAAGGCACACCCCTCTGTTACTCACACTCCCTGCAATTATAACGAGTTGTCTCTTCTTAGTATCTACGTTCTTTGGGATTACTGAACAGAAACTGTTAGAAATAAAATAGGTGATTCGATATTTTCGAATTACATTTTTATTGGTTTTGCTCCTTAGATCAAAATATATATATTTTTTTAGAAAAAGTGCACTTAGCAGCAACTTTTCACTCTTAGCTAGTGATATGTAGTTTGAAAAAGTAAAATGAATTCGTTTTTTAAAAGTACCATATTTCGTTGCTTTTGAACTAGTTACTATCGGACTAGTTAGTTTCAGGCTTTCCCTACAGGGTAGATATGTTTGTATGTACATAAGTGTTCACATATGATACTTGTCCACGTGCCAAGTTCTTGGAGCTTAACGACCTCTCAGTGTTGCCTTTATCGGTCGTGTTTGTCTTTTTTTTTTAGACGAGCTTCGTAGATTTCGGCATAATATTACAGTGTGTACAAATAAGGTACTTACAATAGTAAAAAAATTAATGGCATCACTTTTTTTTGGATCGTCAACGTCAATGACTCCTAGAGCATTTGGAGAGAAGAAACTCAGAGGTATGCTTCTGGGCACACTTTATGACATTTTGAAGATTTGAACTTTGTCACAAAGTGGTCTTCTAGCTGCGGGATTTCTATTATTTAATTCTAGTAAGTCGGTGCGCGTCTTGTCCACCAGAAGGTGTAAAGTGTCTAACGCTCAGCTTCACTCGATTGGTGTATATTACCGATTAGAAGGCTAAATAAGTAACTACTCTGGCAGCAGAGGGGCAATCAGGGCTCTATGAACGCTTATGGAGCTATCGAAATCGGCCAGAGAATGCGTAACCTCTCTCACACTCGTCTAGGATTACTTTCAAATCAGATCATTTTGGTTGAGGGTTGGGTCGACCCCGGGCGGTCATAGGAGCTTTTTCAGCTTGAAGAGCTTTCTATCGGTAATAACAAGTATCTAGACTGGTCACTGTCAAATAGAAAAATAATTGGCTATTTCTAAGCATGGCGTGGTAGAATCATCTCAGAATTTCCTTCCCAGCTTTCCTGCTAAAGTTGTAGCTTTTTAGACGGGCCAATCCATGTCAAATCAACCAATTGTTGGAATCGACCATTTTTCATCAGGTCAGGTTTGGTCAGAACTTTTTCGTTTCTTATAAGAAAGTTCAGCCAAAGAAATAAAAAATTCGTTTCCAAAGTTATACAATATAAATATCTAAAAAATTATTATATTAAAAAATGATTCTAATCTCTTTTTAAAGGTGATATCTATTTATATACAGAATCTCGAAATTAAAAAAAAAGTGTCAAAGTAAAAACTTAAAATTGTTGGCATACTTTTTTATACCATACCTTCAACTGATCTTAAATGATCCTGAAATTTTCAAGGTGTTTTTTAAGATATGAATTTTTGATCTTCGAAAAAAATGTTTTTTTTTTGCAAACTCTATATAAAGTTATGTTAAACAATTTTTATTTAATTTAAATTTATTTTTAATTTAGAGTTTGCAATATTTTTTTTTTCAAAGTTCAAAAAAATAGAAAGATCTTTAAAAAAACACTTATTGAAAAATTCAAGATCATTTGAGATCAGCAAGTTGGTACAAAACAAGTAATAGATAAGTTTTAGAGAACCGTTAACTTTTACATGATCCAATAATCGCAACTAAACAAATTTCGTATGAAACCACCCGTGCGGTGCTACCTTTCCGATAAAAAAAAAATGGTTCACGTGGTCCAAGTTCCTCCTTTTTTTGAAGCTAGTTAAACATTTCGGCAAACATGTACATACGTTTTTACTTTTACGATTTTTAAATTCTAAATTCTTTATTTTATTTATTTTTCTAACTTTTTTTATAAATTACTTTTTTTATTCAGCCCCAAATATTACCTTTAAAACGAGGCCAGCACCACTTTTGTAACTAAAATAGTTTTTGAAATATTCAAAAAATATATTTTGCAAAATCCGTAAAATTGTGAAATTTTGAACCTTTGAAATTTGTTTTCCTTGGGCAGAAATTCAGTTATATGTATATGAAATACATACATATTTATATCATCAACACAGCCTAGAAATTCTCTGAGATGGGCATCACCAGTTTTTCGAACGTCATTTTGAGTATCCAGCGTTTTTATTAAAAACTTATTGTGAATAACTTGCAGTTATTGTTCGGGGAAAATATATTTTAAGTGGTAAAACACAGCGTAATACAAAAATGTTCAAGTGAGCCCGCTCCTAGGGAGGTCGGAAAAAATATCGAGGTTTTGCTTCGATGCATCGACAATTTTCCACTCGATGTATAAATAGTTGATGTATCGATGGTTTTTGAAAACTAACATCTCTAGTACATTGAACTGTCATTTCAGTTTTTCAATTACGCAAAAAATAGGTGAAATAGCTCCGAAAAGTTCGGTTAGAAACATAAATAGTTCAGTTGCGGTAATGTTTTTATACGTATCGAGCCCTCATGAATTTACATGTTCTAGG